TATATATATATATATATATTTATATATATATATATATATATCGGTCAGGGCGACTGGGAAGTGACATGCCCGCACAAGCTATGAACACATTCTATAGATTTTTCTCCCCTTGTTTTGGTTCATTTGTCAGTTCTATTTATTTGGTTACGTGTTGAAATATTTTATTGAGGAAAATCAGTGAGAATAAGTAACATAAAAGTGAATTCTATTGGTTAGACAGGTCTACACCAACGACCTGTCTGCATTCTTGACGTCCTACAGCTTCTGTCTGAACCGCACGGCCATTAATTGACCTGTGGTTTGTTGTCCAGAATCTGTAACGCGTCGCACCGTGGCTGGAGTTATCCCGTATGCTAGGATCACCATGGGTCCCTCTCAGGACAGACATTAAAAAAGCACAAAACAATTTACCAAAACTTTCAATGTTATCCTGTGAGGTTAATGGTGTCTGTCGACTTTAGAATAGTGCTCAGAACAAACTTCCATTTGTTATGCTATTAAAAAAGAATTGATTTTCACATGCACCTCCGGTATACCGCTTTGGTGTGGGACTGCCCATCTGTCTAAGTACTAAATTATATTTCGTTGAGAAGTCTTCAATTGCCCATGGCGTTTCGAAACTGTATTGCGGTGAATCCTATGCAGCAGCGAAGCAAGAAAACAGACCCTTTTCTCACCAGTCCAGAGACGTCCATCATTAAAAAGGAATATTTAAATTTGAATGTTTGTTTGTCTAAAGTCGACCGATCAGCCCCACTATCTCGCGATGGCAAGAAACAAGCACTGGATTCGTGGGCACGTAACACACCCACTACCTTTCTTTGTTCCATATTTCTAGCATTAATTTCACGCACAACTCTATCGCGAATTTTCGCGGTATTTCAAGTCAAGTTTATATGTTTTATGCACTCGTGTTGGGTGAATTTTCAGCTTTCTACATTAAAAATTAGTGTCTTTTTACTTACTTTATTTATTGAATATAAAAATATACAGTCAACTCCCAGGGAGCGGGCCGCGGTCATACAAAGGCTACCTGGGAAAGTACAGAAGTGAAGAAGGTGGGCAGCGGTGGAGCGATTCGAACCCGGGTCGCTGTTTTGATGACCTTAACCAGTTGGTCACCACTGTGCATATTTTAAATAAAATTTTAAGTAAAACTACAAACAAACAATTGTGAAATGGGGAATTACTTAAGCAAACAAACTAGCACGAAGTTCATTGTTTACCTTTTGGTCGACAAGGAGGCGCAATAAGTGAGTAATAATAATGTTGCAAAAAGAAGAAGTACGGAGGTATAAAACCGTAAAATTCGATCCTTTACTGGATGTAGACACGGATCTGTACAGTTCATTATGCTACTTAAAGTAGAAAAGTGAAGTCCGTTGAGTGCGTCTGATAATAGTGAAATCTACAAGGCTCACTTGGAAAGGCACTAAACTTTGATAGTCGCTTCATAATATGAAAGTCTGTGGTACAGAAAATATCTTTGGTCTACGGTAAAAAAATCATTGTCTTCCTTACAAAATGCTCCGTGGACGTGCGTAAATCATGGGAGGCTATGAGTTGAAAATACCTCGAATATTTCACGATATACAATTTGAATCGTACCTCCTAGAGGGAAACGTTTTGCACTCTCCTGAGACTAGCGTTTTTGCATTTTACACGAACATAGTGTTCTGTTTGACATAAAAGCCATCAATGACAGAGATTCGTAACTATAGCTAACATGGTTTGTTGACACTGAGGTGAACCGAATAGTTATCTAAAAGGAGACGAACTGACTATCGTCTCAGGAGTTATATTTTTGATTTGTTGTATGAAATATACCTGTAGTCATCCGCGCTTTTCTGTTAGCGTTCTCCAGACTCTGAAATAAGGTGTAATTAACAGCCTTTAGTTCTTTATCACATCAACTGTCCCAACACAATCTACGTGCGTTTGTTTGCCGTGGCATACTATAGCTGCAATGATTGCATACAGCGAACCTAGCAAACTTTCCGCCTAATGGATTCAAAGCTGAAAGTGGATTTGCTATTTTCATCAATATGTTGGTGACTGTTCCACGCAACTGGGCGCGCAATACAGGTGTCATTTCTGAAAATGATCTGACACCGTAAAATGGTCTGAGGCAACTGTGAACTACCTGATATTGAACATCTAGCACAAGATCAAGTGGCGTGTTTTGTCTGTGTTGCTAGAAGACCGGATGGTTCTGTTCGCTTTTCTATGGGGTTCACCGGTAAATGCAGTCGGGACCGAAACACTGTTAGCTCGTATGGGGTGAGTGAAAGCAGTGCATATACCTGTACCTCCTAAATGAACCAATCGTTTATTTCCACCTTATCTATAAACACAACTTTAAATACCCGAAAACAAGTTGGTTCGCTATATCGTTTGTCTTTTGATGTCCTTAAGGGAATCTTCCACAAAGCCATAATTTCTTCATTTGCAATTTGGAGTAGTTTCGGTTCGAACATATCTTGAGTATCGGATATGCACCCTTGGCGAAAGATAAGAACCGCAAAGCTGGTCGTGCGCTTCCGGGGAATTTCGTCCCGTGGTTCATAAATCTTTTGAATATAGATATTTCCTCTTGAAGACGACAATAAAGGTTGCGCATTTTTCATGCTGGTTTGTGAAAAGGGTATCCTGTAACTACTATTCATTTGCTCACATGAAAGAAAACCGAACGCTTTGGTGGCACGAATAAGCATGACATTTTCTGTTTCTTATAGACTTGATTACTTTATCTTTTGTTTATATCAGCAGTTTGCCGTGTTTTCCCGCATTCTGACCTCTATGCACCCAATTTCTTTGTCACCAAATGGATTGGTTCTGGCGAAAATGTGACATCAACTATGTGTCTGATTACCTCATCTGTGGCTTTATTATGTTTCCGTAAATCCGTCATCAATCACGAACAGTGCCGATGTGTGGCAATCATGAATAAAAGACTTACGCGTGTTCGGCGTTCGTCGGACTCGCGATCCACACGACGTTCAGTTCGTTTCAACTCGATCATTGCTTTGTTTAGTTGCTTTTGCGCATCTGCTAACTGGGTTCGAAGACGTGCTTGTTCGTCAATAGTCTCCTGTTGCAGTTTGGCGTGATCATCTTTCAAGTTGGCCATTTGAATTTGGCATCTGTTCAATTCCTTGTAAATGAAAGTGAGCGACGGAAGGAGTACAAATCAAAGCCTCAATGAGAGGGGTTTATGCACTGAGAGTGCAGAATAAATTATACTCTTCAAAAGTTACCGGTTACTATTAGAAGTAAGTACTCATTAGCCTTTCTTTACGATGAGCGTACACTGTCTCACTATTGTATTTCCTATCCATTATCCTGGAGGAGGTTGGGTGAGGTATTGATAAAAGTATGTAGTTGCTCAGTATGTGTGTATGTGTGGGGGACTGATTGCACTTTATCAGGTGTAGTTAACAATTATTCGGTAGACAGTTTAGTAATTGGCTCCGTGAATGGGTACTTCGAGATCATGGTAATCTGAGTGTCGCATACATTGGTGCTCGTGTATCTCAGTTTCTCCGCCACTCTGATTTTCCGGAATTCTCCATCTTCTCTTAGACAGTGCTCTCTACTTTCCAATCTTCCCTCTACCTTTTCATCCCAAGGACAGCAATCAAAACCGCTCCACGAAAGTGTATGTTTAATGGTGGTGCAAACTGAAACTGATAAAGTCTCAATTCGCGCGGGTTGGCGGGTGCACATTCAAAATGAAATCATGCCAAATCAAGTTAACAGTACACTGTTTTCTAGATTCTTAGCTTGAGCTGTGTGTTCGGTACAAGCCACGGTCAATATTGCGCCCCTGTAACAATGACCCTTGTCAACACACGGATTTATTATCTTAGTAACCACAGATCACACGACCTCGTTAATATCACATCTTTGTAAAAGCGCCAGTAGGTAGCTTAAAAAACACATGACATTACTTGACACGAACCTTACTAAAGTTGCTACCCGCTCTACAGAGTAGAGCTAAACTGGGTAAAGCACATTGGCCTGTCAATTACAATGACCATAGAGCACAGTAAATCTTCACTAGAAACTGAGTTACAGGGTGTGTCAGATTTGGGTATATGTCACAAGCAAGAACGAAGGCAAGTGGGGGCGATTTTCGATGGAAGACGCACGTTGATCAGTTATGGTCACTCTGCCTGGTAAGCAAATTCTCACCACTACTCAAATGATGGAAAGCATGCTTAATTTCTATGTAAAATGCTCTTCCTGACTGTATGCTTTCACACAAAAAGTCTGACGTAATCTTTCTTTCATTAATATGAGTTGTAGCATGTCCTTCCAATCCTCGCAACACATCTGATGGAAAATATAACAAGCTAACTCTTGTTCCAAAACTCATTCAAGTGAACAAAATCGAGAGTGGTGTGCGCCGTCATCCCTTCGCAGATATGCATGGAATCAGAAACAAAAACAGATCCACAGCACTGTCAATAAGAAACGCGGGGCCGAGGTAACAAAATCTCTGTGGTGATCCTAGCCTACGGGAGGATGCAAACCATGGGGCGACACGCTACAGTTTTCGGACAACTCTGATTAATCAAGCTTCCCAGGTGAGGTCAGCAAAGCGCCTACGCTTTACAGCTTCTAGACTACAAACTATAGGCCGATGGTACCAACCAATCAGAAGCTCTGTGGCCCAGATAGAAGCTATACAACGCCAGAAATACTAGCACGCGATTGGCAGAGGTTTGGATGACCAATGAACTTGTTTTGTACATATTATTTAACCCCTCTGATTTCGTTCAATAAACGAATTGTTATTCCTGTGGCCTTTTTCTCGCGTCTCGGTTACGTGGGGTACTATCGTGCGGGTACCAGTGTGATTCAGTGCGTGATTTCGAATACGTGGTTCGTATTTCGTGATCAGTGCGTACTACAACTATTACAACTACAAATTCCTGCTATTCGAGCGAAATATCGCCAATCCCTTCTTTTTGTCCGGGCAACATTGTTAAGCATCTTGTCAACTGTGCCTTTCATTGCAAAATGCCTCTGGGTAACGACATTCAGTTCAGTTCAGTTTATACAACCATTATATATGCACCTTCGTGTGATAGTTCTGGTTGCTGTCTTTTGGCTGCATTGCACTTAAAAAGATGCGGTAAAATTCTAGAGGCCCTCTGTCACTATGGAATTGGTTCACTAGGTTATCAGTAGAAAATACGAAATGTTCATACTCCATAGGAAGGCCGAACAATGAATATGATCCATTTGCGGAGTGATCGTCCGCCTTTATGGACAAGATCTTTCGCGCAGTTCGGTTTCAAAACCTTTTCCCTCTGTGTCAGCTACCGAACAAAACAACTAGGTGCCTGACCTCCGTAGTTGACGGCACGTAACAGAGCGATAGTAGTAAAACACGAGTTTTTTTAAAATCGGCTATCAGAATCTTGAAAATAAAAATATACCTTTTGTCAAAGCTGTATTGTGGCATTGAGAGACAGCTAAAATACCTATATTACGTGGATTTTATGCTCTCGTGGAATCCGTAATCTGGTTAAAACTGAACGTGCCCACTCGTGTTTGGCTTTACCACCGCATGAATTGTGAGCGACACCTCCCCCCCGAAGTATTCCACTTCAAATGAAACAGACCATGCTTAGCCTGTTATGGCAGCTCTGCGTTACACACTTTACCGTCTTGTGAGAATTTGGTTGTGAGGCCATTCCAATGCGAATAGATGGGAGTGCAAAAATGCACCGTTTTCTTAGCTGATGGATGTGCATCAGAATAAACTGCTTTTGCATGTATTCACCTCCAAGGCTTCTCCGAACAGTTGGTGTAGACAATAGTCAATAATCCTTACTCGTTCAGTGTTTGCTAACTCGAGCATGTGAAAAATATCTCTAGATCCGTTGTCAATCGATCTTGCAGACAGACTCAGCACTGTCGTCATCATAGCTCTCGCCAGGGTTATCGCCGAAGCTGGTCCCACCTTGCGTATCCCAACGATCCCAGTTAAAAAGACGGTTGTATTCAGTGCAAGCCTTTAGTGGTAATGCCAGCTAAACGTGAGCTGAGAAAGGGAGAAACGTGCGGTATATATGGGGTTGATCACAGTCTAGTTGTTTATCCAGAATCGGGGTTACGGGGGCGTTGATGGAGAAGAAGCACAACTAAACATTCAGGACCCTCGAGAAAACTCCGACACGTCCTCACAGTGTCGGCTGATCCCAATCCATTTCACATACAAACCGCGTGGCTTCTTAGGTGAAGGTTAAAATTCTCCTGACACATCATATTGGGGAAAGTTATGAAAAATGGTAACTTAAGTGTTCACCTGAAAAAAAGCAAAACAGTAAAAATGACTATCTCCCTCTTCTGGTAACATAGAATGTCTATGCTGAATCATATCATGTGACCACGCATGCACCTCAGCATGGTGACCGATTTATCGATTCATCTTGACGTGACTCATTTTCATACCCGACCGACCGAGACCAATCGCCACCGAGTTCGTTTATTCCAGTGTAAAACTCTATCGTTCAACGAGCAAAGCCAACGTTCGTGAACAATAAAACCCCGTCCCGGCAGATAGATCCTGTGCACCGGGTAACGTATGATGGGTGAAGTGAAAAACACTTTGTGGGATTCGCAGAAAAATGTGATTGCTGGATTCACTTTAAGTTATAATGCTATANCGCCAAACTGAGACTAAAGCTTTCAACGGATGGTTCGGCGGTTTTAAGGAACATCACAGCATTTTTATAGGGAAGACGGTTGTGGATGATGCGAGTGAACAAAACTGAATTTAGCTAATGTAGGAAATGCCAATGACTACTACACAACATTATCAAACATAA